CTTTAGTCAGTCTTCTCAGCAGATCAGTGTGAAGGGCACTTTTGGAAATCATGTGCTCATTTGAAGTTTTTAAATCTGTGATTTAATTCATAAAAGTACTTCTACCTTGCCACTAGAGACACTGAAAAAACATAAGAATGTCACATTTCTGTTTAGGCACCCTAACCTCCATCACCAACCTAGCCACAAGCCTGGCAAGGAACATGGACCGTCTGTCTCTGGATGAGGAGCACTACACCAGGCAGGAGGAGTGGAGGCGGCAGCTGCCAGAGAGCCTCGGGGACGGACTGAGACAGGGACTGTCACGACTCGGCATTAGCTTGTTAGGTATATGAGAAGGAACACCAAACTTCAAACAAGTCAGTTAGCTGTCTTATTAAGTAATAAATGAACCCCCAAAATATAGTTATGTTTGAAATGAGCAATATATGTGTGTGTACAATCCATTCTCTTCCGCTTATCCTTGTCAGGTTAGCGCAGGGGGGTTGAGCCTATCCCAGCTGTCTTAGGGCGAGAGGCAGGGAACACCCTGGACAGGTCATCAGTCTGTTGCAGGGTTTAATTGGCAAACATAACCCGAGTAAATACAAAATTTAGTTTTTGAATGATGATTTCATTTATTAGTTAAGGTCAGAGTTCATTATTGAACAATAAGAAGTAGACTGGACAAAAACGGCATCTGTGGGAGATGCACACATTACATCTCAGATACCAACAGTCAAGCATGGTAGCGTAGAGTAATGGTCTGGGGCTGCTTTGCTGCTTCAGGACCTGGAGTGTCCTAGTCGAAGTGTGGACTGTTAATGCTCAGAAACCCTCCAATGTGTGTGAATTAAACATTTTCAAAGAAGAGTGAACCAGATTACAGCAATATGAAAGACTCATTGACAGTTATCACAAATGCTCGATTGCGGTTGTTGCTGCTACAACCAGGTATTGGATTTAGAAAGCAATTAGTTTTTCACATAAGGTCAGGTCGGTTTGGATTGCTTCTTTCTCCTTAATATTTACTCTGGTTATCTTTGTCAAATATTAACATTTGTTTGATCTGAAACATTTTAGTGTGACAAAAAGATTTTATGGGAAAAAAGAGAAATCAAAAAGGGAGCCAAATACTTTCTTCTCACCACTGTTCATATGCCATAACACATTCTGCCTATGCACATTTCATCTGCTGCACACTGGCACATTCTCAAAGAGGTGCTCACACTGCGGTGAGAGCTGTGACACAGAGTGGTGGAGACAGCACAGTAGGGACACAATAAACACTCAGAGGGCAATAAAACTCAAGTCTGTCTCAAATCAGACTCATATATGTATTATATACTGACTGGAACCAAACAGCTGCCCACATGTCTGCATCACAGTGGATGCACTGTAAA